AGGAGGAGGAGGAGGAGGTGAGTAGGCTCCGGGCTGGGGAGCCGCGCAGGCCGGCGGGGAGGCGGGGAGCACGGCCCCTCCCCTCCCCGGCGCCCGCCTCGCGGGGCCGCGCGGCGCGGAGTTCCCAGAGGGGCATCGGCGGCGGCGGCGGCGTGGGGAGCTGAGGGGCGGAGCTGATGGCCGCGCGGGCGGCGCGCTTCCCGGGCGCACGCGCCACGCTCTCTGCGTCGCCCTGCGCCCTTCTCCCGGCGCGGGGCCCTCGGGCTGCCCGCTTTCAGTCCTCCTACGCGCTGGCCATTTTCTGATTTCCTTTTCATGGGGACTGCACGTCGTGTGTGCCGGCTTCGCGCAGCCCGGCGCCCCGCCGGCGAGGGCCGGGTGCGGGCGCGTCACCTGGCGTGGGGAGAAGGGAGGCTGCGTTCGCGGCCCTGGCCTGAGTAGGTGGAGGGCGTCTCCTCGTCGACCCCTGGGCCCGAGGTCGAGTCCCTCGCGACGCGCGCCCCTGGGCTTCCCGAGGCGAACCTTTGCTCCCGGCCCGCTGTCGCTCTCTTAACTGTCCTCCCCAGCTCACTCTCCCTGGTCCGCAGGGACTAACGACCTGCCTCTGCGGCCCCGCAGAGTCGCTCCTCTAAGGATCCAGCAGAAACTTTGTTTGGGATCCAGGCACTTTGTTCAGGGGGGGAAAGTTTCTGCGAATTTAACTCCTGGAAGGTCAGCCACGTACCCGACCGCAGCAAAGTTGCAGTAGTACATTAATTTAACCTACAGTTCCGAGGGAGATTTTCCTTTTCCTTTTCTCACTCTCTCATATACAACTTTCAGAGTTTTCTGATAACTGTCCTGCATTAAATTACCTTAAAAAAATTCTTAAATTAGAGCCTTGATGCAGCGTGATGGGAGAATTTAAACAAGTCTATACTTTTCCCCCCACCTGTATCACGGTTTGAAATGGAAAACGTGAGTTGATAGTGATTTTCCACAAAAGGTATGTTGCAGAATGCAGCTCCCCTGGTGCGTGGCTCGCGTTGGTTACTTGGTTCTGCCGTTGAATTTGATTTTAAAGCTCAGCATAGTGGTCAGGTAAAGGAGCTCTTTGTTGAAAAGGAATTCAGTAGAACCATTTTACTGAAGTCTGTAAATCTGATTAACGGTAAGCTGAAGCATGGCCGGAGCTCCATGTAGGTATCCAACATACCAAGTGCAGTATTGAATTAATTCATTTCAGCTCTGATGTGGAATAGATTTCTCACCTCCCGCTCCCATTTATTGTATATTTGTATATTTTCCTTAGGCTCTTGTATTTAACGAAACAAGTTTTAGTGTTGAGGGTTGGAGGAGTTTTTGAATCAAGAAATTTTCTTTGTCAAATTTGAAAACTGAATAGGTAAAATTTGAACCATGATACTGAGATAAGGTAGGAAACGGTGGATTTTACAGCATTATCAATTTGAGAAGTTAAGATGGCTTCTTTACTCCCGTTTTGAAACCGTGTTGACATTTTAATCTTACGGACCACAGAAGTACGTAATGTTCTGTTTGTAAGGGACTTTAACAGTTTGGTCCAACACCGTTACTTCTAATAAGTTTCTTGAAGAGATTTAACAGGAGTTGAATAGAACTAGTTGACTTAAGTAAACCGTTTAGATACTTTAGACTTCCCTAATGGATATTCTTGTACCAAAATTGTTTTAATTATATTTTAAAAATACAAGAAATTATTATTTTCCTTACCTTTTATCCCCCTTATTCTGAATATATGCCCTCATTTGTGATTTTGACCCATTAGATACAAATGATGCAAATTATAGTTAGGAAATGTTTGCCTTTTATTAATTGAAACAGTACCATTTGTTTGAATTTAGTAATTATTTTCACTTAAAGAATGTTGATTTAGTCTGTGTCAATCCCAGGAGATTGGCATTTCAAGAGATTTAGAGTCACAGTGTATGTAATCTTGGTATTCATTAGGAAGAAAGGGCCTGTGCACATGAAGTATTTGAGTTCCATCATCCCCAGCATCACTTTTCTTAGTGGGCTTCTAATGCAGAAGACTTGAAGTCCTTGCTAAGCAGGGTGAATATTTTGCATCTTCCACACCACAGTGTTTAATGTGGGCATTTAGTAAATATTTCTTGGCTTGTGTGCCCTTTCCCTGATGGGGAGGGGCTTTATGAGACATGGACCATGTCTTACTTAGCTGTGTGTATGCCTAGTGTCAAGTATAGTGGGTACATAAATGCTTGTGGTCTTGCTGGGCTTAATCAAATTTAAGAAGGTATCAAGAGTTCCTGGAAGTCATAATCTTGATACTGTAGACTTGGAATAACTCATTTCCATTTTTTGTTGAATCAGATACTTTTAGTCTTAATTCCAATATTGAAAGAGGTAGCAGGTGTCAAATATTCTAGAAAAATTGGGGGAAGAAACTTAATGTTGAGAACTTTGTAGTTTAACATATGTTACTGAGAAACTAGGAAAATACACCATTATTTAAATTTTTTGATAGAAGACCTCAGTTGAGCTAAAATAAAATGAATTTTCCACTGAAGCAAAGTTTGACAACCATGAATGGAATGCCCTCTAATTGTTACTATAAGCCACATTTTAAAGGCTTGGTTACACTTTATAAGGATGTATTTTTCAGCATATAGGTAAGGAACGTGACTTGGAATTCAGAGTATTTTGGCAAGCAGTCTTGAAATGATACTTTAGTTTTAGGCTGTTTTTGATATGTTGTGCTTTATGTCGGTGATACTGAAAAAAAAACCCCAAAAAACTAACCAAAGAAACAAAGCCTGCCGTATTTTCTTTTTCTTAATCTCCTCTTTCTTTAATAGATCAGAACAAGGTTTTTTCTTTTTTCTTTAAAAAAAGTTTGAGGAAAAATTTCAAGTATTTTTTGGAAAGTACCAGCACTCCAACCCCTTGAATAGCCTTGGAAGTAATGTTTGGGCAAATGCAGGGCCAATTCCATAGAGTGGTTCCTATTTGAATATATAGAGTCATATAAATAATAGCCTTCACAGGGACACGTCTTTGAAACACATGCAAATTTTTTTTTTCTACTGACACTTAATGAAAACAGTTTTACCGTAGAGTAGAATGGCGTTTAATTTATAGGGAGCAAATCATTTCACATCTGTCATTGCTGGTTCTTGTATCAGTCTGTCGTCCTGGCCTACTCACTGCCAGTTTTGTCCAGTCCACCCAGTTCTTGAATTGATTTTTAAGATTGAAAATACATTTAAGCCTTCAGGAGGTGGGATCTGGAATTATTCTGGTGCCTTGAGCATCCATTGTTCATAGAGGTACGGTGTCTCATTGCACTCCTGCCATGTACTTAGTTTGACTAGGAGATACACATTTTTAAAAACACTTCAGTCAGGAGTTTGAAAATACATGTCATAAGCATTTTAATGAAGTGTGCATAAGGCATTTAGAATACTTCATTAAAGTTTTAGATGGAATTAAGATTAGAATCATCAATTAGTGAGAGCATGTAGTCCTTTTCCCTGAAGGTCATGCTTGAGTTGTTTCTTTAGTAAGTGTTATATAAGTCCATTGAGTTGATATGTTGTTGGTATGATTCTTTCTAGTATTCTAGGTCCCTAGTGGATCTGGAACCTTGGTTAAGACCTCTGACAGTTTGGCCATCTCTCTCTTCTTGCCATCCCCTCTTAACTCTCACGAAGCTCTTCTTGTCCACAGGTGGATGGTGGGGCCCTACTTCAACAGGGGCAGCACTTCCAGAGCCAAGATAACTCTGCTACTACCTCCAGGACTTACCCTCACTGACTGATACCTTAGTTACTGAGGACAGAGCAGCCAAGAACTGGGCTCTTTGGCTACTAAATCTGAACCTTTTTTGAGGGTCAACCTTTCATTTGCATCAGGGACTGTAGGGCACCCTGGATTCATTCAGTTATTACTGAGATCCATTCCTGGTTACCCTATAGTTGGGGTCTCTGCCTTCTTAGCTGAGTCACATAATGGGTTATTTTTATCCAATTTTAGCAGTAGCTAATTATTTTCAAGTGTTTGATTTTCCACCCATATCTTCTCACAGTTTTGAGTTTCATTTGATCAAGTAGCTTTATACTTTCTCATAGCACGTATGTTCACTCTCTGTCTTTCCTTCTAGACAGTGTGTAATCTGAGTGTTGGGACTGAATCTGTGCTGTTCCTGGCGGTGTCCTCAGCACTTGGTACAGTCAGTTCCTGGCACATAGCAGGTGATAAAATAAATATTGATTAGATTTGATTTATCCTAACAGTAAGTCAGTTATCATTATGGGAAACCAGTGTTCATATTAGGAACTTAGAATTCATAGAAGAAATTTAGACATTGTCATCATTAGTACTCGAGAGTCTGTGTGTTTTAAATTATAAGCATATCTATTTAAAAACAGTTTCATCAATCATTTAGCAGAGCATTTATTTAATAAGAAATGGTATATCATTTTCACCATGTATTATTAGGTGTTATATATTTCAATTTTTCTTGAGTTTGATTAATTTATTATATTTCTTACACATAGAAGTTTTATGACACTATAAAGAAGTGAGTTTAATGGCCCAATTTTTGTTCATTAGTAATTATATACTAAAGAGTAAATTCTCATTAAAAGGCCCTTAAATGCTTGCTCATAAAAAAGAGAGACTTCTTTGATTTTGTTCTCCATACAGCCCCAGTTATTGTATTAAGGCAAGTCATCAAACTCTTTAGTAGTCTAAACCTTTAATTTGGTTTCAGAACAGTAGTCATGTATTGAATAACCAAATTACCATGTCTTTAGCAAGTAATGCAAACACTCTGTTTTAAAAAGGTAATGACCATAACTTTTCTTGTAGAATTTCTTGTGCTGATTTTTTAAAGAGGGCTTTTTAACTAAATTTTCTGTGAAGGCCAAAATTTCATACTTTTAGTGATAGTGGAGTAAATGTATATGTGTAGGGAGGAGGAGGTGGTAATTTTGTAGTGGTATTTTTAAGTGGACAGTTTCCTAATTATGTTGAGGTAAACACTTTACAACTCTAAAAGGAAAACTTCAATTATCTGAATGAAATGAGGTACATGAAATTAATTCAGATAAGTGGGGGAATCCTTAGTGTAAATGATGCATGTCAAGGGACATGACCTCAATCTTGATTTTTTTTCTTCTATATATCTGTCAGCTTCTTTAACATTACTAGATTGTGATTCTTTTTGGTCATGCTAGGGACCGTTAAAAGGAGGAGGTAAAGTTGCTCTATAGTTTTTTTTTTTTTCCCCTTTGACACAGAGAGAATCCAGCATACAGTATTCTTGCTCAACAAGAGCAAGTACAATTGCTCATCTCTTGCCTGCCCTTTTAGGTGGTATACCACAGCCTTCCATTTTGTCACCTTCCTGTCAAATGTCAAATGTGTGTGTGGACTCCTTGAGAATACAATTTAT